TGATTTATAAAATATATGAATCATCACATGTGATTGAGATTTTATTCCATCCCTAGCATGAACACTGTTTCTATACGTAGAAATATTTCGTTGAAGCCGGCGGACGAGAGAATTCAGTGCATTAAGAGATGTTCCGAGAAGCGATTACGTGTTTGTCAAACATGAATACCACATTTGTGTCTGTTTAGCCAGTTGGTTGTCCAGTTACGTATTATAAGGATCACACAACTGACACGGTAGGATTTAGGTATTTCACCGAATATGTACTCGGAGATTAGACATGTCATTTACATCCTGATTATTAAATCATACGCATTTATATAGTGTTGATAAAGAAGGACGTTTCTATTCTTGTTCCGTTTACTCATAACTTACCTCGGCAATTATTGGGAGAATTATATAATAACTATAAAAGAAGTTACAGAAAAGTGTGGCCAAATTTCAGAAGCGTTGTTGCTGATAAAATATTCATTAAGATTTAAAAAGAAATGCATATTAAATTATTTTCAAATATCTTTTTTTTTAATTCTAGAGATGGTTATATAACAACATACTATTGATAATTTCTTAAATATAGATAATGGATATATTTATGTGAATTTATGTCAGTCTTGTCATATATTAAATATTCACTTTTTCAATAAATTTTGGAGTTTAATTTATCTGTTCCCTGAATTTTCTTTTTTTTTTCTTCACGACCCTACAATATGACCACGTTTTTCAGTAACATGCTGTAGATCCTATACAAAGTCGGTTTATTTCACAGATGGCGACAGAGAGCCCCGAAATTTCATTAGTGAAAGCGAAGGAGACACAGGCAGGCCTTTCCACTTAAGGGTTTTTCCATCGACCGGCGCCATCTAACCTTAGATCGACGTTTGTTCCTTCATTACATTATTTTCGTTCCTTTACGAACCTAATTATTTTCAGAAACCAATGTACTCAGATATCAGCGATAAGTGTCATTTTCGAAGTTTGAATGGTCAACAAAGTTACTTAATCTTACATTTATTATTTGGAAGTATTCCAATACGCCATTCTCTGCCGGAATTCTAAGACGGCCATTTGTAAGAGCAAATCTTCTTTAGATTAACTAAGTGAAGTGTGTGAAAGTGATTTCCTGAAAAAAAAATCGTCGCATATCTACTATCCATTAGTCTGTGAAATTGCTTTTTCATAATTTTGCTCGTTACCGCAGTCGCGTCGCAGCGAAGCCACGAATAAGCTTGATACTATCACAGCATTTCCTATAACATAACTAACTCATATACTACTAATATCAACTAACAGGATCTGTTAAAACCGACAGCGATCCTTTAACGTTTTAAGTTTAATATAAGACATTATCCGGGCTTAAATATTAGGCGACACCTTGTGAACAATTCAACTTCAACAATAAATCATATTCCAAATTTATGCACACGAGTTTGATACATATCATTTAATTCTTTATCTAGTTCACACCTGTTTACAATTTTGAAGTACTTATCACATTAACAGAAATAATAAATAATTTCATTAAAACGCTTTGATTGTTTGAAATAGACGATGCAATTTTTATCTTAAGAATACGCAAATTATTAATGGTGTCTAATTCGCGTGACTCCCAAAATACTTGTAGACCTTTATTACCTATATATATAATAATACTAACCCCTACAGATATAATAATACCTCCTACTGAAAGCACCACGTAATAAATTTAAAAACAACTAAAAAGAATAATATAACCAGTTTCCTTTGGTACCGAAGTATGGTTGTCTATGTGATTTCCGAGCAGTTCCATCAAGGCGATGCAACTATAAAGTTTTTAATTAAACGCGCACAGGCAGTGGGGCTTAACGACCACATTTTTCTAAATTCCCTTAGCGCGTTGCACTCCCGGGAAATCTCTTGGCACTGCACGAATAATTGCTCAAATTAATAATACGGAATCGGAAGACGGCGCGACTGTCTCATTTTTTACATCTACGAAAATGGATTACATTAGCATACACAACGAAAAGTTTTTTAACTTAATAGTGGAAGAAATTGGTCGTCATAAAGTCTCTTTGAAAAGTAGTCCTAATTTTTGCGGCTCTCCGGGTCGAAGCTTAAACTTGGTAGCACTTGGGAGTTTTAATTGATTTAGAGCAGGTAAAAGTGGGAGTGTAATAAGGGTGGAGATGGACTTGGCGGCGCTGACTCGAGTTGAGAGCTCTTTATAGTCTGGCATGGAGCTCAGAGAGCGGATTGTTTGAAACTTGAATTTATCAGCGCGTCTATGGCCGCCCGCAAGCGGCCTTCACTGTTTACTAAGCCCCTGGGTAAACTTACCCACAACGACCGACTACTGTGTATCGAACAAGCCTTAACAAGGAACAGAAGTGTATCGTATATTCATAGTTAACGGCAAAAGTTAGAACTTTGAACAGAGATCAATTTTTTGTGTGTTATCCATTCAATCATAATACAGACTATTATCTTATAAAAGTTTAAAAACTAAAACTCCACGTAGTCAGCTAATGTTAACAACATTAGGCATCACTTATTTAAAAATAAAGCGGAAGCGGTATTTGTAACTAGTTTATTTACTGTTACTTTAAAAAATTAACAGTCTTATCTGGTATTTTGTGCTTTTACTCGTATATTTGATGTCCGTATCTGTATACTCTGAAAGTATTTTAACATCTGCAGTACGACGGCAAGTAGTGCCCCATGAGGCGTAGAGATAATCACCGCGTTAGCAGGTGGTTTAAAGCAGCGAATGACACAGTCGATCCCACATGAATTCCTGATCATTTCGAATGCACTAATGGAAGAAGGAAGGTTTTTTTTTGGACATCTGACACGCAACGCCATCTAGTTACAAACTAGGAGAGCTTGTACTATGAAAGCTAGATTGACTGATAGAATACTAATGAAATTAAATGGTTTTCAGGTCAGAGATCAAAAGTCAAAAATAGAAACGGAACGTCGTCACCTGCAAAGGCTGCAATAGAATTGGTGATCTACCGTTACATATGATTACTTAATCCCACAAAACTTTTTAGGGATACAATATAGTAGTAATACGAAACTAGAGTCAAGACTAAATGAAATGTCCTTAATTCAACACTAAATGAAAAATAAACTATAAGTGTTGGAAGTCCTTGGAGTGTTACATTTCTTATATTTTTTTCCTTTAATCAGATACGACGGTTCGAGTGTTTTTTTTTATAATATGCAAATATTAAATTTGCTTTTAAAAAACCTGTATAAATTGCTTTTTCAGAAACATCGCGGAAAATCTTGGTAGGGCACTCATTCACAGTCAGAGCGTTCCCGTGAACAATTTTCCTTTATGTGTATTTATATAATAGTTATATAAATTTATATATAAATTAAAGAATCATATGGATAAACTTGCCATTTATTTTACATAAACGATTTATATGTCCCAAATATCATAGCAAAGTACACCTAAAACAATAGTTATATAAGGTACTCAAAAAGGGTTGTTAATTATATAATTGAATTAAATAAGCTTGTGACCAAAGAAAAAAGCTTATTTGTAAAACATGTATTCTGATACATGTCTTAAAACAACAATTACTTCGTAATGCTTGGATGCTATAAAGTAGCGATCGTTGGTTGACTCGCTCTGCTGCATTTCACATGGAAACAGACAGTTTTAAACGATGCTTTTAACTTTTGCTTTTATTTGTATAGAATACGAGTACAACCATATACTGTATACGAGTCACTCGAATTAACTATTAGGAAATAAAAATATGTACATCTCAGTTGCAGACGAAAGAGATATTTCTTCAACATCTAAAATCCATTAATTGATACATTAATATAAGTTTTGGACTGGCTCTCATAAAAACTAAAAACAACCAAGAACAGGTCAAAAACAAAAAAAAAAGAAATATTCTTCGCATCTCTCCAATAATTAGCACACATTTATATATGTATTGTATATGATTTAACTATTTTTATGGTATTCTATTGGTGTCTTAGTAGTAGTAGCCTTTAGTGTAGTCTTAAAATTCTGTATCGTCAAATTTTAAGACTTTAAAGTATAATTGCATTGAAATGTAGGTAAAGAATGTACATAGATCTGATAGCAAAGAAGAAAGTATAGACATTATCTTATACATCACAAAACCGGCTAACCTTATGTCCCAACATTTACAATTAATGTGCATACCTAGTGCGAAAATCAACTCAAAATTTCGTTTAATGATAGTTGAATGCAACGAGTGACACATAATCATCCTTTTCTGTTTTACACCGGAGGAAGACTACTTAACTATAATTAATTATTTCAATAAATTTCACAATCAAATTAGCTTTTAAGATAATAATACTTTTAATGGCGTGTGTGACTATAATAAAAGAAAGATTTGATTCTAAACTCAATGGACTATAGTGTTCTATAATGTTGTATAATGGACTATAGTGGATCCCTGGCAATCTAAAAAAATTATAAATGTTCGTAGCGTAGTTTTGTACAGCCTCCGTGGGTTATTAGTTCAGCTGTTTTTCATTTATTTACAAGTATTTCTCTCGGTTCTCAAAACGTGTTCGGTAAATAACACCGCCTGTTGTCAAAATTTACTTTTACACACTGATATAAAACTGTTTGCTGTTAGGCAGTTTTATGTCAGTTCTTCATAGGAACTTTTAAACTTATAACACTTAACCGAAGTGATTAATGCCCACATTAATTCTTATAATTTGTAGTAACAAAGTGTATTATTTAAAATGAAATTTCACTGGTGAAACTTTTACTATTAATATTTAGTTTTACAGCAGCAATTCTTATAGTTTAAGTACGTTGTATAAAATTTAGCTTTTTACTGGCATCGAAGCTTCATCACTTTCATAAAATAACAACACCCGTGTAAAATCTCCTCAAAACGGCGGTTGTGTAACTTGTTATACCGCCCACGACCTCTATTCATCCCATAATTATCCCGTGTGACCTTAGAAGATAACGTAAGTTAGAAATAATATAGAATATATTGACTTACCTCTTAGTATTTGGTAGAGGAACACTTTAATGTGGTCGGCTGATAGATGTTGCGGCGATACGATAATCTTGTGAAGATCACTCTGCAACAGCTCCGTGATCACGTAACTGATATTTGCTGGTTAAGGATATATATTAAAGAATTGCATCTTACACTAGTGTAAACAAAATATAATCTGAATAATCAAATGTGGTTACTGTAATACTCCTACTGATAAATATTGTCTAATTGTCACTGATCTACATTTACTATATCAGTTATTAAAAATAAATTGTATGTTAGGGCAGCGATATACAGCAGTCTTGGATAGCGGTTCGTGTAAAATTTACGGTAGCGCCTTACGTGACTTGGGTCGTGGAGCTTTTGACGTAAAACAACTCAATTACGGTGTATTACCTACGAAGACATTCATATCCTCTCTAAACGTCTAGTCATAATGTTAAAGGCAATCGTTTTAACAGTGACAAGATGTAACACATTTGCATGTTCCGAAATTCCCAGTGTGAGGCACGTAACAAATTTCGCCGCCCACTAGAAAGGGTGGCTCCAAAGCGTCCCACTCACCCTTGAGCTGCGCCGGAGGGCCGGTCCGATGGGCTAAAGGGTCGCACTGGCCGTCTCACTGTTATCTCGCTTATCTTCAGCACACGCCCCTTGTGGCCATTATCAAAATTACAGAACACGAACCCAACTACACTCGGCACACTTGTTGCGGCAAAACTACATTACAACTTCAACGTTACGAGTTGAATTTCAACGAATTCTAATTCGGGATGCTACGCTTGGTGCTGAACTGAAGTTGAAAACGTGGTCAATACATGAATTTTAATATTAAATTAAAGTTCCCAACTTATTCTTACTTATTCTTACTTCCCTATAAAGCATTTAACGTATTAAATGCAATCAAAAAAATGATAAAGTACAAAGATTATACTGAGTACAGAATAGTTATATTGTTCTATTCGCGTAGCTATTGTTCAATTTAAAATAAAATAGGTACAATAGGAGATACATATTGTAGTCGTGAAGCACGAAGCTTAAATAACGACTGTTAAAGCCTACATTCGACCTTAGAACTAACGCATTAGCACTGGTAATGTGGGAACTATAGTGTGGTCATGTTCATAGTGTACGTAGTTATATATGTATGTTTGTTTTTATGAACCATATCAGATCAAATAAAAAGTAATTATAAATTAATGTTTGTTATATGTGATAATTACACGTTAATTTCTATTCATGAGATTATAATGTGATTGTGTTTATTGCTATTTTTCGACCAAGTTTGAGGTAGACCGAGGCTAAGACTCAACCTTATTCTATAGTACAATATACAAAACAGACACAGTACCGAAACTAGAATACTATGGTTATAATGTGTATGCTATAGTAACACAGCGATATCTATACACAAAGTAAGTAGATACTTATGGGTTCTAGCACATTACACATAAAAACACTTAACTTTTGTGTATCCATAAGTACGGGCATATAAAACAGACAGACCAATGTAAAAAGAAACATTTGCAATGAGTGGGGTCACACTCTTGGAACCCTAAAGTTATCAATAGATGCCTTACATGGAAGAAATAACTGAACAATTGTACATTATTTCGAGATTGTCTCATATGTCATGCCAATGTCTCTAAGTTACTAAAGTAAGTGCTCTGATGATATACACCGCAATGAGTAGGTATATTTACAGTAGCTGCTGGATGAATCAATTAATTTGTGAGTCGAAACGCCCATTTACAACTAGTTTTAGTAAGAAAATGAGTTTTATACTACGAGTACCTAATGTCTGCTCCCTACGGCTGTTTCCATTAGCATTGTCTCGTGACTGACTTTAAACTTTTTATTTATCCAGAACGAAAAACTTCGCAAAATGCGGGAACTTTATTCTGAAACTTCTTTAACAGTTCTTTTTTAACGCTGACTTCTGAAATATCTATGTAAATGGACTATAGTATCAACGTGGGCGTCACTAAAGTTCCGATCATAACCTTGAATATTTATAACTTTTTCATTCATAGCTTTAATATTAAAATAACGCTAGCCAATATTCTGCATAAATGTTTAATTAATGTTGTATGGTATTGTGTTCTTAGCTTTTAGATTAAGTTCTATTGAAGTTCTCTTATGAAGCTGTTTTAAAAAAAATATTACTACTCCTGATCTACTTAAACTACTACTACCAATTTAAAATAAAAGCGGTGTTTAAAATGTAATAATACAAAAAAAACATCTACCTTGTTAAGATGTAAGTGAAAATTACATGACATGCACACTCAGATATATTCGGGTTACCGAACATCGTCCGCCTAATTAGCGAAACAGGGTCCTGAAATAAGCAGTTAGTTTCAGACGTCGCTACATCAAGACGAGAGCACGTCTCGTAAAATAGAAAACCTCGATAACCAACTTGCTGGGAACAAAGACCTTGAGAATATGAACAATGTCGTTTCTACAATTATTTCATTTAGACAAAAACGAGGGTGCCATTAGAAGCACGGAATGAGTAGAATGGACAAATTGGAAAAAAAAGTGGAGGGACTTTTTTAAGTAACATCTTTTAGTTACTCATCAGTATAAATACAAGACTGTATAATCACTAGCAACTACTATACTTAGTTCACTCCACTTAACTCACTCGATCTGGAAAGAAAGTGTAAAACAAAGAGACAATTTGAATATTTGAGAAGTCTTTGATGGTTGTATGTGAATATATTGACAAGGAAATATCATTATTACATTTAAATATTCCGACTATCATTATGTTTCGAGTCCGAGTTGTTCAAGTGACTCACAAAAGCTCGTAATAAATATAACATTTTTATCCGATCAAAAACCAATAACTTTGTAACAAGCATTTTCGCTTTAATAGTGTTGTAGTATAGACAAAAACAAAGAATTTGTTTCCAAATAATGATCAGATCAAAGAAATAGAGAAAAATTATTTGAATGCGGGTTTGGTCACGTAGAGAAGTGCGGTCGGTTGGTTAATCTGTATCTATAACTATGTACCGCACAGAGCTACGGGCGACCGTCTAACCGCCGCGCCCTGTGGATAGCGCTGATTATTCTAACTTATAGTATTGGTGCTCACTGCCTCCATACAAGTTTATATCTTATTTTTGTTAGAAATAAAATTTTAAAATGTATGTGCGGAGCACGTGTTACATGAAAATCATTAGAGTTACTTACTTTTAACTGTTTGCTTACCGATATTGTCTATTTTAAATTCAGCAAGTAAACATTTATTAAATTAATACACGTATTTATTACAGAAAAGAAAATACTATTTCTAAAGTATAAAATATACGTTCGGCAAGGTCAACTGATTTAACGAGGACATTGGCGCATGTGTGTGTTTTTATAACATATCATAATATCATAACATAGAAAGTATTTCCATAAAGAGCAAAAACTTCACAGGGGTAAATTTTACTGATGGTGGATAAAAAAAAATGCTTGTTTGTATTAAAAGGCAGTATGGGAATATTATGAATCCCCACTTGAAATAGCTCTGAGTGAGCATATGGCAAGAATGCCGCCTAAAATGGTAATATATTCATACTTTGCCAACTGTAAAACAAGTACATAAATGTTACAAAGTTTTATCGATCTAAAACCTTTACCTACCTGTATAAGTAATATCCTTTTCCATCCTATCCTTATCAATATCCTTGTCATCCTTCTTAATTTTAAACTTTTCCTCTTAAATCTAAGCCCAAATGACCTATTTTTAATTACCAAAGCGCTAAGTTCATGGCGGTGTCTCTAGTCGGAACGATATTTATTAAAACGTGGGTTTTTAATGCAACTCTGCCCGCCCCTTCAGAGATATAGGCGCCAGGCATGTACTAGCTTAAGAAGTAAATTTCATTCAAGTAGATAAAGCACGAACGTAACACACAAACTCCTTTATAATATTATTTATAATTATGTGTATTAATAACAAAAAGAAAACTTTCTTAAACTGTGTACAAAACTTATTTCATACTTACATTTTTTTTACTTTACTTAATGTACAATAGGCACATTTATCATTACAGGAAATCTTCCAGGAAGACTTTATCTCACAACACCCTATGTAAATAATGGGGTATTCAAACAATTCTTCGAAATTTTACTGAAGTTGTAAGTTCTGTTCAGTTCAGTTGATAATGGCAAAGTACGGGAAATTACGTATTTGTTAGCCATATCAATTTATTTTCGAAAGATTGTGACACAATGTGCACAATGAGAATTGGCAACAACTTTTGTGGAGCCGGTCGGCAGGGCTCAGCGCCGGCTTTGGGGCTACACCCCTGCGTCGGGGCGGTAATTATTTACAGAGGGCTGAGATTCCAGCCCCGCACCCGTGCCCCGCTCACCGCACCCAGGACGCTCCATCAAACACGATACGCGCGCACGATTATGGAATATATACGTTTTTTATGACAATAGAAATTAGTTTTGAGTTGTTTTTCATGGCTACGATTTATTGTTACGTGTTATCAGTTTGGTTTATCGAAAAGTAAAGTTATTATTGTTACTAACATGGCTGACTCCTATTAACAGAAACTTTATCAGAACAAATTTGTAGTCAGATTTTTTTTATAGACATTTTTGTTTAGAGCGGTGAGATAACCGCAAAAAGTTTCGAAGTTAACTATGTTATCGGATGAAAATAAATATAAGCCTGTTTGTAAATGAAATTGGTAAACCGTGTAAAAACATTTGTTACTCGTTTAGTCTTTTAGCGGATATTTTTTGGGTGCTAAAATAATAAAATTATATACAAAACATAATACAAATTTAACAAATATAACCAGATGTACAATAACAGATGATCTATTTTGTGTGATCTTGTACTACCAAGTGATTCAGGCTTAGTAGATGTTGTCCTTAGATATGTATACGTGTGTCTTGTGCAGTCTTGTCACAGGAGAGATGAAATGTCAAGAAGTTACAAATAAAACATCTATAGATAAGTGCGTACACATTAGAAATAAAGCAAGATGTTTGTAAGTAGACAAAAAACAAAGTCAATATTGAGTTTTGGCCAAGATATGGCCATGATTTATGTATTACCTCTTAAATAGTAATTTTATACGAGTGTGTG